GACCATAAATTCTTTTAACTTTGTTGTATTTAATGAATATTTGTATTCATTAATTTTAATTTCCGTTATAATTATAAATTTTTATTATAATTAATTTCTTTTTGGGTTATAATAATAATTATATATAGAATTTTTTAAAAAAGTTTATACTTATCACAAAAAATTTCAAAATAATGATATCAAATATAATGAAATACCACATGAAAGTCAAGAACTTTTAAGAATGAAATTATTATATATTTATATTAATATACCATATTTATTTTATATGAAAAAAAAATTATAACAATTTTTATTACCCATGATTTTAACGAGAAATACTGGGAATTATACATAATAAAAGTGAAATATTAGTAATTCCTACTTTTTTTTGAAGAGATGTAGTAAATATAATTTTTTATTTTGATTTCATTAACAAAATGTATACATTTTCTGTAGTTTACTTAATATTTCTATAGGTTTATTATATTAAGTTTTAATAACTTTGTATCAATCATTTATAGTTTATTTTAATAAAAATAATCGTAGCACAGGCTGGGAATACCAGGTGATAATGCTATTTTATATTGAATTCCTTTTTAATTTCACTAAAAATAACTGGATGGATGAGGTTTACGTTGAAATTTAAAATAAACATTCCCAGTTACAAATTGAACGATCAGGTAAGTTTTATAACGAGATAAATAAAATATTTTTATAAACGTATTATATTGCGATATACTGCCTATTTTTTCTAGATATTTAATTAGTATTATTACTGTAACAGGAGTTTTTCAGGTCTCCCTAGGGTTATGGGCTGTTGTAGGAGTTTTGAGGGTTTGAATGCTTTACAAAAAATGTCATTACAAACGCACTCCCGTGCCTTGTTAGTCGGTCTCTTCAGATGAAATTATTGAGACAGGTCTCATTATCATTAAAATATTTTATAGTTAGCGAAAGTCTATAACTCTATTTATATACTATAAGATTTCAAGCTATTTTTACAGTTCTATTCTGTAAGTAATATAAACACAACTATTACCCAATAAAACTAATATTAGAAACAACCATGAAGCTAAACTTCTGTAATGTAGCTTATTTTTTTAGACAAAAGTTATAGTTTTTTTAATCTTTTTTTTTTTTTTTAACTTATAGTTTAAGTTAGAATTATGTAAAATTATTTAATCCTGGTTATAGGATTTCAAATATCTGGTTACTGTAACCTAAGTGAATTTTTCCTTTTAGGTTTGAAAGGAACTTTAGTTTCTTAGTAATTCAGGTGTATAACACTTTACGAAATAATTGTATATTGTTAGTTACGCGAACACTTAGAGTTTCGTTGAATCTCTCGAAAGTTTAGCTTACGTCTTTATTTAATAATATTTTGTTTTACTAAGTATTTTGAACTTATAATTTCAATATAAAAAGCCTATTTTATTTTAGAGTTATAAATATGCAAACCATACTTAATTTTCAAAATTATTACAAATTTGAAAAGGTAACGTCAGTTTTTTTTTTGGTTTTTTATACCTGCCAAATTTATTGTACGACAGAGTATATAGATATAAAAGATCTTATAAAACAGATAAATATAAGTGCATCTAAACGGAAGTATAAAAAAGTCAGAATAAAGGGTATTAAATTGCGGAACACTTGAAGTGCTAAGAAAAAAAGTAATTCAAAGGAATTTAAGGTAGCCAATTAGTAACTTATTTACACTACTACTGATAGATATACCAACAGAAGTATGTAAAACGGTTTACTTGGGCCGCAAAATCCACCTTACAAGATTTTAGAGTTTGAAGTATATATAAAATATATATCTGATAACGTAGGTTGTAATAAATAAAGGGTGGAGATAACATTTTATTTTAAGTAAAAAAGATAAACGGTTGGACTCTGAAAAAGGGCATACAAAGGTTCGAATTTACCATCACAGTTTAACTTAAACCCAGACCGAAAATAAACAAAGCTATCAACCATTAGGAAAATAAGAAGTAAAAATTTTATAAATCACTTACACAAATAATTTTTTAGTTTTATCAACAACCTTCTTGAAAAGGTCAAAATCTACTTAAAAATCTAAAAATTTCTCGTATATAACCTACAGGTAGCCTGCGACGGGCATCAAATAGTAAAATTTAAATATTTCCTAAGGTAAAAGAGCCAAATCATTTTAAGTTCGTCTTTATTCTTTTAAGTAGTCTGACTAGTTTACCATTAGGACCCATTTCAGGAGTTATTCCCATGGGCTTACAATAATTAACTTTATGACTTCTGACCTAAGAACCTTTTCTGTGCCGTGTCCTAAGCTCTCATGTTGTTTGTCAACGGTCATGTTAACCTTTCCTATTGAGACTGAAAAAATCTGAAGGGGGTTGTCATTTCCTGTAAAAGGCTCTAGTACACTCGAGCTACTCAAAGTGTTCAAATATCGGAATTCAACGTTGGTAGGTATATCAGCCACTGGTATCCCTAAAAATATCTAAAGGTTCCTCATTTGATGGGCACTCTTGCAGACCTTTTCCCTTGATCCACTCTCTTTACATGGGCATAAGGTTGCCTCAACGTAGTGGCAACTTCCGTCAAAAGATCATCCGGTGAATTCATCCTACACATATTTGTTTCAGAAAAGTAAAGTGTTTCGGGCCGACCCTTGTTGGTTTACCTCTGTTTAAGAAGCCTGCATTACATTCTCTGTTTAGTATAAATCAATCGTAACTAGTCAAATATGCGTGAGTGGCGTTACTATCAAGAGCCAAACCAAATTTATTATAGACGTTTGTCTGGATCAAAAAAAAATTCATTGGGGTCAACAACGTTTATATGCATTCCAATAAATAAATTTGGGATATAAACAGTTGTATAAATATTTTAACTGTGTAATGATAAGAAAAGACAAAGTTTTTACCACATTTACGAAAGGTTTAAAAAAATTATTAATTTAATGTGCTACACTAAGTTCATTTCCCCTAATATTTAGCTTACACTTTTTCAATACAAACGGCTTATAATATATCTTAAAAAAAATATTAGAAATCTTTTATACGTTCTTAACAGTATAAAAATAGTTAAGTGAGAACAGTGCAGCCTTACTAAGGGAAGCAATATACTAGGAGTCAAATCTTTACGGTATCGTGATACCCATTGGTATTTTCTCTACATTGGGCGGAAAAGTTGTAAAATTGAAGTTTTGTAAACACCTTTTATAATAATGAGCCTTAAAAAATAGGTGTGTATTTTATTAAGTATAATTATAAGATTTGAAATAAGCCTTCAACAAACGTCGAGATATTTTATTAAAGTCTATAAATAAAAATGATAACTAAATTTAGATCATCTATTTTTATTTTATGATGAGTTTAAAGTAACCAATTGTATTAAAAAAATAATAAACAGGAAGGAGTACACACAACTTCGTAGGGTTGGTATATGGTCTTCAATGTTTGGGTAAAAGATCAACCGTAATGCCCTGCAAGAGCACCAACCTTCCCCAGAGGGACAGAAAGAAGAGAAAGGCGAAGACGCAACTAACGCGTAGCATATCCTACAAAAGTAGCAATGCTGACTCTCCTATATACTTATTGTAAAAAAAGTTGGTTTATGATTGTCATCTTGATTTTTTTAAAGCACCTTCTTATGTAGATCAACGCACTCAGTTGGCGCTCCTTACTATATAGTCAATTAAAAACCACTAGCATTTTCCTCTTCTTAGCCCTTCTAGGATAAATATCAATGTAATTTTTTTTTGAAAATGATTCTTAATTTAATCTCATAGTTTTAATCTCAAATTCCAACCAATATCTTTATTAATAATAGTTTTATAAAGGGAAAATAAAAAAGGTTGCAATAATTCTAATTTTTTCTTATAGTAAGCAAGTAAACATGAATGTATAAACATTATGCTTAATTTCTAAACGATTAATAAAAAAAAAAATTATTTTCGTAGTTGTATGGACTGTGGTGTAATATAAATCCACTAAATGATAAACTAGGCCCTCGATATTCAGTTAATTCGGTAAAGATAAATTTCAAGTTTTTATTAGTTACTTCACATTGCATTGGTTACCAAATAAAGTGGGTCTTAGCTCTTTTAAACTTTAATTTTTTTTATATACTTATATTTTAAAATGATAATATTCAAGAAGGTAAGGCACATCCAAGTGGCACTCCACTTTTGCCTCTCACAATACCATTTCTTCTTTGAGGTATAAAATAAAAATTATAGCATGTTGCCTGTAAATTAGTGTTATACTTTGGCGGACTACATCCTAGTGCTGTAGAAATTTAATTTCGGAAAGGACTATTTTTACCTCAACTTTAATGTTAAAAAAAAAAGTTGTCCATATAATTAATATTTCCTATTTTTACAAAGGGGTATGTTATATCAGTGCAGCCCCGTCGATTAGAAGTTTTAATCTCTATGTTGCTAGCTTTAAGTCAGGTTTCATTAGTCATACATAGTAAAATGTGTTACTGCTCCTTACTTAGTGTCTCTGTTCCCTTCAACTTTATAAAGCTAATAGTCTTAAGATAGAAAATTTGTGATGATAGCGAAATAAGGGGAAAAGGGGTAAAGGAGAGCGACCATCTTATCACCCCGCAAAGAAGAGATAGTAACTTTTGCGGATGACCTGTAAGTTAAGAGCAGGTTTTTAAAATTAAATAATAACTTGGCGCTAACCATTAACTTGCACCGTAGAGACAAATAAATTACCTCCAGTAAATTCAAGTAGTCAAAGTTTTAAGTAGAAACCTTAGAGAATTGCTCTTTAAATATTGTTAAGATACACTAATCATAATAGTTGAGACTTCAAACTGCATCTTTTGCTTAGTTTATAGAGAATACAAATATAAAAGCTTAACCCAATAAACCCTCAAGTCTGCGAAAAAGAAATAAACATAAGGATAAAAGTGGATAAGTATAGAATGAATATATGATATATATATATAAAGAAAATGTAAAGTAAACAGTTAAAAAACCTAGAATATAGAAAACACAGAATTATATTTTGTATTCACCTTGATTTCCGTTCTCATTTTTCGTCTTCGATACTAAATGCTTATGTTTTATTAAACTCCCTGCGTGAGACATTTAAACAGCTTAAATTTTTAAGAGAAAGGCACAAGCTATACTGGCTAGTTCAAGCTCGAATAAACGCGCAAAACTATCTTTGTTTTGTATAGCAGCTGATCCTGTCGTGGTAGCAGATGGACCAAAGGTGATACGAGCTTTTTGGAAAAAAAAAAGGCGACACCATTAAAAATTCCAGTAAAGCAGGCAAATAAAATTGACTTTCTAAAAAATAATTTTAAAAAGAAAAGCTTCCAAAAAAATTAGTAATTAGGAGTTGTGGACAATTTTTTTTTTATGGGCCACCAGTTGGTCCCGCGAGGATAAAAATATAGTTTTTAAGTTAAAAATAATGACTTTCATGTTAGATTAAAATAAAGTGGACTTTTCAAAATTTTATGGTAAAAAGCTAACTTTAAAAATTTTTATAATTGTATTTTTTTTGCTTATACTTTAAGTGTTCTATAAAAATTTATTTCAACTAAAAAAAAAAAGAAGTTTCCTTGAACTTTATTAGTGGAAAGATAAATCCTTTTTTATTAATTTTGATTAAAAAAATTAAATAATTATGAAAATTTTATTTGTCACCTTAAAAAAAACTTTTTGTTTCAACAGAATAAATAATTAATACACTGATTTAATAATAATTCAAGAATGAAAGAATAAAAACCTTTTAGTCTATGGAAAACCAAGTAGAATTTCCATGCCAACAATTTTTTAGGTTAATTTTATTTTATAAATTAATAAATTAAATTTGATAAATTTAATTTGCATCTTTAGAAGTAAGGGCAAAGAATGTTCGAGTGACGGTATCCAAATGCCTACAAAAATATAATCACTAAACATTTGCAAAAAAATTAAACTAAAAAAAAAAATATTATCATTAGTTAATTTAAAATAAAACCGACTTAATATTAAAAGTTAAGTAATCTTAAATTATGTAAGAATTAAAATTAGTGTTTAATAAATTAATTGTTTACATTTTTCTTATAATTTTTTCTGTAGATAGCTTTCTCGTGTATGTTAATATTATATATACATTATGTAAAGTTTATATATGTCTATTTAAACATCTAGTATACATACTTTTTATTTTTTAAATTAGTTTTTGTTTAATTATAATTTATATATATATATTAAGCTTACTTTCTTGTGCATACTAATAATACATATATATTATGTAAAGTTCTTACATATTAATCTATGCATAAGATTCCATTTTGAAATTATATTGCTTATAAAAAACTCATTACCTGTAATTTTGCGGAAACCCTAGTAGCAAGTAAGCTCATCTTTCATTCAAGAGGTTGACATACTGGCTTCCAGTAAAATCTTACCTTTAAAGGTTCCACCATTATAACCTCTTGACCCCTTAAGGGGAAGACTCCGGGGCTAAAAATGAATTTGTTTTTTCTGCGAAATCACATCCTATGTTGAAACGATACTTTATTGTCCAAAAGTCCAATATTTCAAAATTTGATTCTATATATCCCAAACTAATATTTACATACCTAGCTAACCAAAAATAAACTTCTTACACCCAGAACTTTTTTTATCCAATTGTCCAATAAAAAGATCGTGCGAAACTGCCCAACGTAATGTTTACTGGTAACTAAATTTACCTCTTTTTTGTTTTGTTGGTTGGTGCCTAATTTCGTTAGAATATGGTACTCAAAGTTACCAGAGATTATTTCAGAGACCGAGCCTGTCGTTATGGGCCAATTTCCCATAGACCTACTCTATACAATTGGTAAGCATAGGTGCAGAAAATAATTCTATTAACGTATTGCTTTAGGGCGCAATACGTTAATGCAACGGTTCATTAAGATGGAAGAAAAGAAAGAAAGTAGGACAACCTTTAGCCCAACTTTAACCTGTATTCCGGTTAAAAAATCAATGGGAATAAAAAATATATTAAAATTATTACAAATTTTATTATAGAATAATAAACCTATATAAATAGCACCATGCGTTTATATGAGACATAAAGGCAATGCCACTGACGAGGTAGTTGGGGGTCATCATCCACGTTAAGCTTAAACTTTTTTTTTATCCTTTACTTTCTGCCAGAAGCAAACTCTTTCGACAAAAAGCAAACACTTATATCTACTATGTATCCGACCAAGCATAAACATACGCTTCTGATGCCGGGACTTACGACTCCCGGCGATGGTCCTTTTGAAATTCACTTAAGACAAAATGGTATACTACGACTCATATCGGGCACTTCGTAATTTGTGCAAACGATGAACCATACAAAGACCTCCAGTTAAACAAAAAAAAATAAATTATAAATATTGTTTTTCTCGAAGCTTAAGTGCATGACTACAAATTTTCAACCTAACGCTTTTACCACTTACGGATATTCTTACTAAGCCTATCAATTGATAATAAGAGGGGTAGCTCAGTTAAGAATCGGGGCAGGGCACGCTATCGCCAGTCACATAATACAAAATTTTGTAGTATTATAGATATCAGGACTAAAGGTAAAAAGATAGATATCTTATATATAAAATTGCTTTAACGCAAGTTAAAATCTAGTTTGTAAGCTATCATCTTTTAGAGAGTTCGTAAATTAACAGTTTTTTTTTTCCGACGGAGCACCAGAAAATACCATTAAAAAAAAAACAAAATTAGTATAAAATTAAAAGGGAAAGGATGTAACACTTGGTCGTCTCCTTCTCTATTTCCAACCCCTTTGCCCCCCGACCATTCTGCTTAACTTTTTTTTACTTTTACTCACACGCATATGTGCAATTGAGCGAGCTTGAGTTTCGTTTATTCTCATCAGGGGCGGATGGCTTTATTAATCTCTATTCTATACTGTTCTTGTCACTTTTAATTTAAATAAATATAAATATGTATATATACTAATGACAATTATCATTTGGTACAATGCCCTTCCATCTTCATAGAGGGTAACAACCTCTCTTCGGTTCGTTACATAGGAAGAGTGAATTTCAAATCGCCTGGAGTGTAATTAAGACTGAATGACCATAGGGGTGTTTAAATTATCAAAACGACAAGAAGTGGACGCTTACCTAAAAGGAGCAGTAATCACTTATAAAGTTACCAAGTCTTTTATTAATCCTTCAACTAACAAGAATGTATTCATACGTTTTGTAAACTGCATTACTAGACAGTCTAGAGTTTGTTATATATTCAATCTTTTTTTAACATGGTCGCACTCAAAGGAGGGGCCTATATTAGGGCCTGCCTCTCGCTCGATGGACATAAATCGGGTTCATTCATATCCTTTTAATACCACAGCTTATCATGACGTAGATATATGTACTTACCAGTTGAAGGGTTTAAGAGAACATATTGATTCCATTTTATAATATATAGGCCCTCAACTATTTTCCACCTTCGTACAAACTAAATATTTTCGCGGGTAAGGCGAACTCGAACCGGAGTACATCGAACTCTTAATCTGTTGCATACCATAATCCGCTATGCCAAATAGTGACCCCCACCCTTTAGAGCGCAGGTAATGACTTGTTACACTAATAATTTTACCCGGGGCTTGTTGGTCAGGGTAAAACTACGACTACAACTATTTCTAAACTCGGTCGAACATCTGGAAATAAGGGATAAAAGAACGCTGTTGCTGAGGATTTCTTGAAAGTTTTTTATTATATTTTAACCTTAGAAATCCTGCCTTTATTACGTGTAATGTCCTTACTATATTACACCCAAAGTATTTATTCGTAGTTATAAAAAGTGTAAAGTTCATTAATATTAACTTGGTTACTTATATATATATTTATAAGCAAGGGATAGCCCACAGAGTTCATAGACAAGGGACAAAGCAGATGTGTTTAAGAGAACTAAGGATTTTATAATTATTTTAAAAGTTGGAGTGCTACAGTCAAACTGTATAACGTCCTTTTACTGCTTAAAACATATTTTCTATGTAGTAAGGGACGAGGAAAAAAGGTTAACGACAACAATAATCTACTGAAAACTTTATATTGCGCCGCTCGTCTGTTATATTAAAAAGAGCACGACGAGCGTAGTAAACTTTAATAAAGCTTGTGGATTCTTTGCAGAAAGAAATTTTTACATGTCTCCAACATTCTGGATTCTTCCTTAAGCGTGGACAAACAATTACGAAAAGTAGTCACTATTAATATACTATAAATAAGCTAACTTTGCTTAATATATATATTAATGAAAAAAGTGCTTCAAAAAATTATATTGAAAAAAGATCTTTTCGCTTTATAAAAAATTGATATAACTTTTATTTATACAGAAAACGATGCTGGTGTTACACTATAAATTTATTGAGGTTCTTCCTTTCTTTTATTCAATTTTTTTTTATAAAAATCAGACTGGCTTTATATCGAAAACCTCGTTATCATCTTTATAGTACTTGTTAATAATTTTTTCTATTTTACGATAAAATAGATCATTTTAATTAGTATAATAAAAACTTGATTATTATTTAATTTAACTCTCCGCTAGTAACATCCACGTCCCGTGCCCAAGTGAAATGCCTTAAAGCTCTATAGGCTATAGGTACGTATAATATATGATTGGGTGTTGTACTTAATCCGTAAGCTAGAGCTTTTTATACACGTTAAAATTCCTTTAAGAAGGTAAACAGTAGGCTCCTGTGGCGTGAGTTCCAACAGTTTATCCAAAGTATCGAGAGCAGACTTTCATAGCAATAAAAAAAAGTTTCTGCGTTAAAAGAAAGCTCACATCCACCCTGGTGATGACCCCTTTCTGTTCGCGAATTCCGCCTTTTAAATAAAGAGTCACTGCGTTTTCAGGGTCCCCCTTTAGCGAACTATTATAGGCTGATTTCGCTGCAATCCGCAAGCATTTTCAAGTATGCACGCTTGCAGCTGAGCGTGATATGCCTGCCTATAAAAAGTTTCAGCAAAAACCTTGAACTATTTTTATTATAAAGGAAATTTAAAATTGTAGGCTTTATAAAAAGTTTTATAATGACGAAAAATTTTTTTTAATGATATTTGGCTTTGCTGTAAAAGCAATGCTATAGAAGAGTGCCACGTAAAAAAAATTAACAAGTTAAGAAAAACTTTTGTAATGATAATTATCAGTTGATTTCCACTTAAACGAATTATTATTTTTATTATTACTGGAAAAACTTCCGCCTAAAACCTTTTGTATTTTGTTCATATTGCTAAGCGGTCTAAACTGATACCAGAAAGTATGAAAAAGGCTCCTAGTGGCTCAAATTAAGATGAATTTCAAATCAATAAATTCCCCCCTCCCCTTCCTCCCCCACCTGCCGCCTCGTGCGGGGGCCCAACCAAGCGTTGTAGTGGCGGGAATCCTGGTGGACTGCCGAATGGAAATGCCTGGCTGCTTTCGAGAGGTTATTCCTCTGCGACTTATTCGTGTCCGAGAAGAGTATACGCGTAAGCAAAGTTCAGGTTTACCTTTCTTATAAAGAAAATAATAATAGTAATAATAAACTTGTGATGAACCGAAAGTACTTGTACTGCTCCATCCATAAACTTCAAAGCTGCCTCGTGGCCTTCCTGCGCATTGAAGCAGTTTCCTTAATAATAGGTAAATACCCTTCAACAACTAGAAGAAAAACATCCAGCGAGTCGACCGCGCCGCCGGAAACTTTTGAGTCACATGGTGAATCACGTGATGAGGAATGAGATGATTGGCTCAGGGTGAATGCAGGGGACACACGTTTTCGCTGTTAACTTTCTATAGAAAAAAGATTCGAATAGAAAAAGGGTAGTGACCTGCAAGAAAAAAACAAACAATAGGCCATCGCTGCTCGCACTCAACACTACAGTACTTGTATTAGCAGTAGTACTAATACTTTTCCTATAGGTTTGCTTATCGTTTATTACTACTATTAATACTGTGAATGGACGAACACCTGTTAAAAAGAAACTTTTGGGTGCTTTAGTTTCCGAAAACAGCTTAAAAGTAATTATGAATGTTTATTATTATTAGTTTAACAATATTTTATATTATTATTTTGATTATAATTTAAAATATTGTTACACTAATAATAAAGTTGTGCACAAAAATCTAAAGCTGACCGTTTAGCTGGCGCAAAATATATTCGGCTACTGGTGAATGAATTGGAAGCAATATATATATATAATTTGAACCAAATTCACTCGTCCACTGGTATAAGGCGCTTTATTTTTTTTCGACTGGCTGCAAGGAAAGTTGGTCTTCAAAAAAACTTTTAAATTTCTTTATTAAAAAACTTTTATTATAAAAAAATCATAAAAACTGCACTTTAAATACGTTTATGTACTATAAAATAATTGTAATAAACTTGAAACTGTTGTGAATACAGTAAACGCAGTAGAAATTTTTAATATAAATCAAAAAAAATTATTTCAATAAATTAATTATAATAAAGTAACTAAAAAATAAAGAAAAAATATAAATTTAAATAAATTTATTATTTATAAAATTCAAATTGTATATGTAATTAAAAATATATATTAATTAAATTATTAGTAAATGAAAAATTAATTATAAAAATAAATATAAAAAAGTAGTTAAAGAATTAAACCAAAATTAAATTATTCAAGTAATTAGATAAATAAAGTATTAATAAATAATTATTTAAAAATTTCAATAGTAAATAAAATAAAATTTTTTGTTAATAATTTAAAGCAACTTAAAGCATTCCGATTAAATTTTAATAATTAACTTTTTTATTAAAAAACTTACTTTGAGTGTAAACTTTAAACGCAACGAAACAAAATTAAACACAATCAAATTTTCAATTTTTTAATAAATCTACTCCCCTGAATTATTTTGTAAAATTCTAAATCTTAAAAATTACTAATAAAATTATTAATTAATTAAAAAAAATTAACTCTAAAATAAATTATTTCAAACTTTTGAACGCTTTACTTGATCACTTTATAAATTTTAATTAGAATGAAGAGAATTAGTTTAGTATATAAAATAAATAAAAAATTAAATTTTTGGTAAAAAAACTTTTATATGGAAAAAAACCTTCGATTGCGGCCGATAAAGGAGTGTTTAAAGTATTTTCAGATCTACTAAAAAGTATTAAAGATTTCATAATTTATACCAATTATAAATTTTATAGTAAAGTGCATTCCGGTTAAAAATAGGCAAATTTACAGAGTTCAGCATTAATAAAATTGTAAGCTGATAATTTCGTAACATTTATATAATAAAGTTTTATAGGAATTACTTATAGTATCATATTATCTTATCAATAAACATATTTACAGAGAAAACAAAAAATTTATTAGATAAAATAAATTTGTGGAATTTGGAAAAAATTAAAAAAAAATAATTTACAAGTAGTAAGAAAAATATACAATTTATAAAGTTAACCAAAAATTTAAATTATAGAAATTAAATTTAGAAACAGGATTCTTTGAATAAGACCAAATTTAGTATAATTTGGACAAAGTATAAATAAAATAAATGGAGAGTTCAATTTAAAACATACAAGTTATTAACATAGTAAATATAGATTCATAGAAATAGAAAATAAAAGCAGAATTCATTAAATAAAACCAAAATTAGTAGAATTAAAAAAAAATAAAAAAAATTTGCAAGTTAATTTTAAAACATACCTATTATATAAATAATAAAATAAATTAAAAAAATTTAGTTAAGAAATATTTATCAAGCAGATACAAACAAGTTTACAATATAAAAACATACAAAAGATTGACTTTGCCCAACGAGAATCGCTGAAATGGTATATGCTAAATACAGTGAGCACTCAAATTAGTACTCGACTTGTTATTGCTATAAAAATTAAAATGCTTTTCCTAAAAGTTTATGCTTTTGTGTCGTAAAATTAAAAAAAAAAAATTACAGACCAAAGTGGCAAAGTTAATAAACTACAGGTACATGTACGAGTTCTTGTTTGAGGCAAATTACGTAATCTAGACTAGCTTCAAGAATTCTGCTTCCAAGGCTGATAGTAAAAAAAATTAGTATATAACTCATAAAAAAGACCTAAAAAAAGAAACCAAAAGATTAAATATTTTTTTTGAAACAAAATAAAAACATCTTTATTTTAATTTCTCCCGCTAACTTATAAAACAAGGAAGGCAAAAAAAAAGACTTTTTCGTTTCTTCACCTTCAAGTAAAGAAATTAAAAAACCTATTTGACTTCCTACAAATATTAATCAGTAAAAAAGTTTTCTATTTTAAAAATAAAAAATTATTTTATTTATATTTATAACTCTTAAACGCAATAATTTGACGCATGTATAAGCAAAAAAGTAGCGAGATTCAGGAGAAAACGCCGGAAAATAGCACTTTATATGCCTGTCCATATTTCTGAGAGCCCAGATAACAACAGCCAAGAAGGCGTAAACTTTCTTCCTTACAAACTATGGCGAATAAATTTAGTAAAAAACGTATACACTATTAGCATTACATTTTACTAAATACAGTACTCTAAAACTAAAAGGAAATAAAATGGTTATACCTATTTAAAAATTAATTCTTACTAAAGCTGTTATAGTAAAATCTTTATAGCCCAGAGCTCCCTTTTATTATAAATTTAGATCTAAAATCGAATAATTTCTAATAGTGAAGGTATATACTTTCAGCGTGGAGGATAGTAGCCAGATATGCACCACTATCTTACCGATAAGAATCAAGCAATAAGTGGTTTTTCTGAAAAGGAAAGGAGACTGCCTCTTGATCAAAAACACAATTTTTATAGGTGATCGAAGGGTTTCTATGAGGAGAACAAAATGGAAGATTGCTCACAGAAAAGCTATTTAGCTACAAAGTAGTGATAAGATGAAGACGATGATGTTTATAATAGAAGAACTTCTCTTAAAAAAGTTAATCTATTTTATTGCTAACACTTGTAATACATCAGACTCGCTTCCAAAGGGAGTCACTTAATGAAACATCTGGAAAAAAAAAAGTTGTTTAACTTTATTTGCAGGATCCTTTGTATTGCTCTTCCTGCATGTATATTTATTATTTTTGCTGCATTATTTGAGGTTGTTAGTACTAAGAGCATAATGTTTCTTTAAAGTAAGAGTTTGTAAGGTATTTTAACGCTATCTTCATAATTTAAAGGTATACATAATATATTTACTAAGTTTACTATTTTTTAATGTATAATATGCTAATTTTAATAATAGAGCACGATTAGTACATAGTGATTATTTTAAAAGGTATATACATTATATGAAGGATAATATTCAGGATTACCAAGAATTTACTTATTTTTTATAAAGGAAGCTTCAATTATTTATATAAATTAATAAATTTTAAAGTTTGTTTTTGTTATAAGAGCACCATAACCAAGGTTGTGTTATTGAAAAGATTATAGCTTCGCCTTTGTATAGCTGTTAATTTATAGTGCCTAAGTCTCATAACAAAAAGAGTTCTCTTTAGCCTGAAAAATTTGTTTAAATTCAGCTCTTTCGAAAATTAGTGTGCTTTTTTAATATTAAAAAGCCTCCAAACGGTTAGCTAAATTATTTTAAACATAGATAATAACTATGACTCACCTAGTTATAAAAAAAAATCTCTCAGGCAGTTCTATTAATACAAATTTTTTAAAGTTAAAAAATTCAGTTGAGTCTTGTCAGAATTACTTTTACCATGATATAACATAAGTAATCTATTTAAGACAATAAGACAAGAGAATTATTTATTATTTTGAAAATTTTAATAGCGGGAATGGGTGTAAAGTTACTAGGATCTCGCTACCAAATGTTTCTGTGAAAAAAAACGAAATTTGTTAATATGAATTTTTCCTACAAAGCTTATATATGAAAATCATTAACTATTTGGAGAACAAGCCGAGATGGTGACCGCTGCCTCTTACAAATTGTTAGACATATTTTGTTTATTACTTCTCTGCCCGAAAATATGTTGAAGTTAAAAAATTGACCTATTGCTTTTTAAATGCATCATATTTATATTAAATATTTATTTGTATTTTTCTAACTCCAGAAACCCAAATTACAGTTAAATTTTTATAATGAGTCAATTATTTTGAAAAACTAATGTTATAATTATGTTCATAACACTTAATTGGTTACACACTAATTATAAAAGACCACCCTACCACCAGTTTGCAATATCTCACCCCTTCCGCTAGATCACTGCTACTAATTAAAAGAGAATGTTAAGGTTAATTTTTTGAAAATATAAACAGAAAAATTCTTGTAAATATTACAACTTTTTTGGTTCAGATTCGATTTTTAATAGCAACTAATAAAAATGGAGAGATGTAAGAAATTTTTAAAAATTAAGAATTTCTTTTCAGTAGTTTTTATTTTTGTTTTCAAAAAAAAGTATGTGTTATGGTTTACCAAAAAACCTTCTACCGTGTTTAAAGGCTATAATAATATAGAAAATTACTTAAACTCAGTTTTTTATTCTACATTATTTAGTAAATAATATAGTTTATGTACGCTTATTTGGACAGCAACTATTAGTATTCTTAGTTTATAAATTTTAGATGAAACAATATTTTGTTTAAGTGAGAAACTACTTGATTGGCTTACTTTTAGCTGTTGGGACATTAATAAAAAAAAAATTTAGTGCTAAAGCTTTGGACCAGCCTGTTACTAAATTAGACGTCCATAATTAGAGTTATTCAAAATTAATGATTTCAATTTAAAAGCAGGGGAGTTGTACTTTATACTATTAAAACCTAAAATTAATAAGATTAATGGTATTCACCATTTTTTAAAAATATGTAGGCTAAAATTAGAAAAGGGTCTAAAATTATGCTTAATCATTTACTATCTAGAAAATATGTCTAGGTCTAGAAGGCCGTTAGTACTGTGAGGTGTCATGGTCTCCTATAACGGAGTAAGCACCTGCGCCATAGGTTATGTCTTGAACAAATAAATCGTTGGGATGAGCTAAATATTTATCATAATCTACAGTAAGCGAAGAAAATATTAAGGAAGCATTTCCAACTTAAGGTCACTATACGTGTGAGTACCCCGGACCAACATCATAAATTACGTAGATAATCATTTGTTAAAATGCTGACTAACTCAAAGCATTAATTGCGTTGTTTCTAATTAGCTCCATAATAACTTCAATTTCATAGCCTCAAGTGCAGATGCATATTTTACAAACCACGGGGAGCGAGGGTGCTTTGTATCCGAGCAAAACTT